TGTGCTTAGAAACTAAAGGATCTCAATTCTTGTCCATTTCAGTTTTACGTATGTTTCAAGGTTATAAGTTACTCTGGGGAAGAGGAAGTTTTACACAATCTTAATTTTGAAATTTTGAGCACAAGTACATTTTATTTTCCAGATACTTCCAAGGGCATTTTCCTAGAATCAGGTAAATGAGAGCAAGCAAGTGACCTACTTAGAGCAAAAATTGCTGCAGGTTATAAAAGATGGGAAGCCCAGTGCATCCTGGAAACCAAAGCATCTGGTATTATTTTATGCCTCATCTATCAATCTGTTGTTACAGGAATTGAGAAGTAACAGCTGAACTACTGGTTCTTTTTTTGGCTAATAAATTCATATCTTTATTATTCTTGCCCAATCCCTTCTACCTCCTTCCCCATTTATAAAACCATATGGAAGGGGCATTTTAAGGGTCTGAAATGAATCCTCCAAAGAACTCTTTCATCCAATGCCTTAAAACTTTTGCTAATGAAGCTGCATTTAAGGTTAAAAAATCATCTTGAAGCAATTCTGTTTTTTATCAATCCTGACTTTCCACAGATTAGTACCATTTGAATAGCATTTTTCAATACTATTTATTAAAGCTAAACAACAAAATGTTGTAGATGTTAGGTAAATAAATTCAAGAAATTTTTTTGGTAGCAGAAGCTGTGAAAAACAATTGGCAGTACTGATTGGGACAAAGGATTATATAGAAATACAAGATTGTGGGGCTGGCACTGTGGCATAGTGGGTAAAGTCACTGCCTGCAGGCCCGGCATCCCATATGGGCGCTGGTTCGAGTTCTGGCGGCTCCACTTCTGATCCAGCTCTCTGCTGTGACCTGGGAAAGCAGTAAAAGATGGCCCATGTCCTTTGGCCCCTGCAATCACATGGGAGACCCAGAAGAAGCTCCTGGCTCCTGGCTTCGGATTAGCGCAGCTCTGGTTGTTGCGGCTATTTGGAGAGTGAACCAGTGGATGAGATGGAACCTTTCTCTCTCTCTCTCTCTCTCTCTCTCTCTCTCTCTCTGCATTTGCCTCTGTGTAACTCTGCCTTTTGAATAAATACATCGGAAAAAAAAGAAATATAAGCTTGTTTGGGGATTAGTGCCCTTCTGCTAACACAAGAAAATTACATATAACTCATTTTTACATACACTCACTTAAAATCATGTGTAAAGTTTAAACACACAAAAAGCATGGGAAGTAGATTTACAACATGTTCTTTGAATGTTGCTACTATCTTTTAGATCTATGTTTTTAAATATTTAGGTATTTTTAAATTTTCATTTTATATGAAAGAGAGACACAACGACAAGATAGATATACATCTTCCATCTGTTGGTTCATGCTACCAATGCCAGCAACAGCCAGGGCTGGACAGGTTGAAATCAGGAGACCAGAGCTCAACCTGGGTCTCTCACATGGGTAGCAGGATCCCAAGAAGTTGAGCCATCATCTGCTGTCTCCCAGGGAGGGAGCTCATTAGCAGGAATCTTAATCAAAGTAGGAGGAGCCAGGACTCAAATCAGGTACTCTGATATGGAATGCAGCTTCCCGACTGGTGAAGTAACCACACCAAATGCCAAATGCCTGTGCCTCAGTGCTTTCTGTGGACTAGAGCTATCCGATCATCTTTCTATTTCCTCCAATCTATTGGAATTTTAATTTTCCAGTACTTTTTTTTTTTTTTTTTTTGACAGGCAGAGTGGACAGCTGATCCGAAGCCAGGAGCCAGGTGCTTCTCCTGGTCTCCCATGCGGGTGCAGGGCCCAAGCACTTGGGCCATCCTCCACTGCACTCCCGGGCCACAGCAGAAAGCTGGCCTGGAAGAGGGGAGAGGGGCAACCGGGACAGAATCCGGCACCCCAATGGGGACTAGAACCCAGTGTGCTGGCGCCACAGGCAGAGGATTAGCCTACTGAGCCATGGCGCCAGCCGAATTTTCCAGTACTTTTGTCTTTATTCCCTCTTTTCCTTTCTATTGGAATTTCAAGTACTTAAACTTTGTTTTAGTGCTTTAGCTGGTGCTTCATATTCTCACTTTATTTTTCTTTCTCCATCCATTTAATTTACCTCGTCAAAAGAATAATCAAGGTTATTATTTTCCAGCTAAATATCTTAAAAAGAACCAAGGTTACCAAGTAACTATTACACTGGTGTAATTACCACTATATAATTTCATTTATGGTGTTGAAGTTTCTGCTCCTTATAAATCACTACCAAGTGAATTTCTAATGAACAATGAATGAAGTTTACCATGTTTACTTATTCAAACATTTCAGATGATATTTTTCTCAAAAATGGATTTTGCTGCTAAGCTCATCATGAGGGCTTCCTTGATTTGATTTCTTTATTTAATTTGAGAGGCATCTGAAAATAGTTCAGATGACCAGAAAGGCCATTTCTCTGGGGTGGTAGATATTTTTATAAAAATATTTCTAAAGTCTTTACTCACTGAGACAATTTCTCAAAGTGTGGTCCAAAATGACCTACATCTGAATCATCCCAGACACTTGTTTGTTGATTGACAAATGGATGGATTGATTGGCTAAACAACAGAAAAGAGGTTAAGAAGTACAAAATCAGGGTACAAGATTTTACGTCCAGTGCAAGCACTCTTCCAGGCTTGCAAACAGAAATATTGGTGTATCCTCACATGGTAGAGATCTCAGATGGTTACTAAAATGCAGATTCCTGGACCAAAACCTATAGCAGTTGAATGTGAGTCTCAAAGGTTAGGATCTAGGAATCTGCATTTTGCTAAATTGTCCAAATTGTCCAAGTGAATCTACACCTGATGAAATTCAAGAACAGAAAATCCAAGGAATTTCCTCCTCCCACCAGGTATTCAGTGATGCACAGTAAACTAACCACACTGCCATTCAATAACAAAAGGGCAGAAGTTGATGTTACTGGGGAGAACTACCATAACTGGTTTTTTAAAAAAAAGGCAAAGAGACTCTGTGTGTGTGTGTGTGTGTGTGTGTGTATGTGAGAGAGAGAGAGAGAGAGAGGGAGAGAGAGAGAAATCTTCCATCCTCTAGGTCACTCTCCAAATGTAAGAACTCAATCTAGGTCTCCCACATAGATGTCCAAGACCCAGCTGCTTGAGCCAATACCTGCTGCCTCCCAGGGTACATTAGCAGCAAGCTGAAATTGGGATTAGAGCTAGAAATTGAACCCAGCACTACAATATGGTATGCAGACATCCTAGGCGGCAGCTCACCTGTCTCTGTCACCACTGTTTTCAGAGGTACTAGTACAATACACATACACACACCTAAAAACTTTCTACAGTAAATATAATAATTATTCTTAACATCTCCATTCCAATAGAGAGAGAAGGTCCAGAAAGTCTATAAAAAACTGTTGCTATAATTTCCTGATTAATATTGTATATAATTATTTATTGGGCTCCTACTGTGAACCAAATATGGTATTTTGTGTTGCCAGGGATTATATAAAGCTATCCTGGGATGAAAAGCATATGTTCACTCTGCTCTATTCTGGAAGAACCTAGATGATTTAGTGTTTGCTGCAAATGAATGTACATGATATGTGGTAAGGCGGTGATTTGATGTCTTAAAACCTGGATGTAAGAGGCTTCCTGAGGGTTTGTTAAATGAAAATATTAGGACCAAAAAAATATAGGTGTAGGCAGTTGGTTTATAGCCAAACCACAGTTTGGGAAGCAGTAGGGAATGAGCAGCAGCACGTATTTTTTGCACATGCAGACTCTTGGTCAGCCTTGATTAATTTATCCAATATTTTCCTTTCTGGTGTATTAGGCAGGTGAATTGAAGCTAGATGTGACCATATTGGGAATTCCACCTCATTGTAGGATTCATTTAGGATAGATTTAGTAGAGTGACCATTTTGTTGCAATTTGCCTGAGGCTTTGTAACATCACTGAAAGTCCTACAGCCCAGAAATCCCTTTAGTCTCAAGCAAACCCAGAGGTTAGTCACCCTGGTCTTTAGAACAAGCCAGGTTACATTATCAGCTGAACCAGTTTCACTCGATAAATGACGGAAATCCATTACTATCTTGAATTTCTCTGCTAATTTTCCTTACTGGTGGGTATGTTTACTCTAGTGGACCACAAAACCTAAAATTCTTTCCTCCATAACTCCCCCTTTCAGCCCTGTCAAACCACATCCTCACAACTTTCCCAGCTTGTGATCATCCCAGGCACACAGTGGAGAATCTCTTCCAGGAAATCTGGGCCCTGATGACCTCGGTTTTCTTGAGAACACTGCTCCGGTCTCATAAATCTATTCTTCTCCAAGGTCTATCTCCCTTTCCAGATAACCATTCTGGTGCTCCCAAACCTAGCTTCATTTTTAAAAATTATATTATTAACATAGACAGACACATATTTATAAAAATCTCAAAGGCAAAAAGGAATGGATGTAAAACACGAAACACTTAAATTTCATTGATTCTTGTCGATGAATTTAACCAGAGATTTTAAACATTCACATATCACTTTCAACCCACCCTTATCCTTTAAAGCCTTGTGATTTTTGTTATTTCACATTCTTATCTCTTACAACTAGATTTTAAAACTTCATAATAAATCACTGTCCGAAACAGAAAATACGTAGGATTTGAATTAGAGACTAAGTTCCATTGAAATTGTGCCACTTACTAGTTGCATGAACATAGAAACATTCATTCCTAAGGTTTAAAGTTTGTTCATCCATAAAAACAGAGAAAATGATAGCTATCTCAGAAAAAATTTTTTGAGGCATTTAGCTTATAGATTCAAAATAAAAAGCAGCATATTGCCCAGGTGCTAGTAGACATTCACTAAATTGTACATATTCTCTTCATTACAGTATTACAAGCTTGTAACAACGGTGGCATTTGCTAATTCAACAATCAAGCTGCAGAATTCTTTAGCTATTAAAGGCGATGCCTACAGCTGAGGGGCACAAACGGCCTTCCTGAGTCAGACAGGGAGACATTGTTTCATAGTCTCACTTCTACCTGAAGGAAGTGATGTTGCTTGTATCTGGGGACAGAGTCTAACTCATCTCGCCTCCCAGCAATCTGAATTCAGGAGGCGCGGGTTTCAGATTCGCTCTCTTGGGACTTCTCATGTCACGTCGCTCATTCTGGAAAGGGGAAGGGGTAAAAGAAAAAGGGAAGTCACTTAACATGCAAAATTGTTACCGGACGCGCTATTCTGTCCCAAGCACAGAGCCTGTCTGCGTGGGCTGCTGAGTCGTTCAGCTGAAGGGGTTGTGAAGCGCCACCCCCAGGTGCTTCTCAGCACTGACTTGCGGGAGGAGGGGGAAGTCACCCCAGAAACCGAAAAACAGATGGTGAGGGGTGCGGGGTGACCGCGCGCGTCGGCGCTTGGGCGAAAGGACTGAGATGCAATCTGCGCGAGGGTTTGCGAAGCGTGGTGGCGGAGAATCAGGATCAAGCCCGAGTCAGGGGGGAATTTCTTTGCTCTCTCTCAAGAAGGCGCCCCGATTTGTCAGGGTCGCACCCAGAGAAAAACGTGAGCAGGACTGGGATTTGAGGTGACGACTGCCTTCCGCAGTCCATCTCTGAGACTCGCTAGCTAAATTCAGAGCTCGGCCGGCGCTGCTGGTAGACACACCGGCTTCTCGGAAGGCCTCAGCCCAGCAGGGTGGCAACCTCAGCGTCAGGTGCGCCACCTCGCTCCCTCGCCGCTCCCGGTCTAATCAAACAGTCCAAACGCGCCCCCTTCCTGCCGGTGCACACGGGCCGCGCATGCTCGGCGCACACGAGCCCGCGCCGGAAGTGTTCTGTCCCAGGCGGCATTTCCTTCCTGTGCGAGGCCATCTGAGGGCTGCTCCAGCCGCTGTTTCTGCCCCGAGGTGAGTAGTAGCGGGCTCCCGGGGGGCCTCGAGGGGCAAGGGGAAGGCTCCTTTTTAGCTCCCTTAGGGTCGGGCTCGGGAAGCCCAGCCATCAAGGTCACCTCGCTCTCCTACCACGCGCCACCTCAGTGCCGCCCCCCAGCGCCTCGCAGCCCTAGTCTCGTACGGATTAACCTCCAAGGGCGTCCCGGGCCTCGTCTTGGCTTCCTGCCCGGCCTGTGCCCCTAGGTCTCCGTTGGCGCGGCCCCCGAGACTCGTGCTGTATCTCTGTGGGCAGCCTGTCGCTCTGGAGGCCTGCGGTCGTCCCAGGTGACTTCGGAACCGGGCGAAAGCTGCGGGAATGAACCAGGTCTAATTGTCGCACAGGCGCTGCTATCACCTTGTGCAAAAACGGGGGTGGCTCCTGAGGAGCGAGCACGCTGTCGCAGAGGATGGCGATGTTTCTAACAGCCTGTCCTCTGTGTGAAGGTAGGCAGGCCTTCATTGTCCAGGTAGTGTTGCTTGGGCCTTGATGTCTGCAAACCTGAAACTTTGGAGTTTGAGAAGCCCATTGTAAAACACTGCAGCGAATTGAGAGTGACATGTTAACAATAAGCTCTCGGCCCTTCAAGGTAGTGTGATTTCAAAGATGAACACCGTGAAATGGAAAGAGCTTCTTAAAATAAAACTGGTATCTCTGTTTGCCTAGTAAATAATTCTGAATGTTTCTTCGTTGTGCATAGTACGATGTATCTGTACATGCTTGTGTGTTTATTCTGTTGAACCAACGTTTGTACAGGGTTGAAATACTTTCCTATTTGTATGCACAATTTTTATTGTATGTTCTGCTGTAATGGTATTGAGACCGCAACTGCCTTCATTGCAAGTATATCAATGTCATATGAGTGATACTGGTAAGTGACTGCACAACAAAATATATGCAGTTATTGTCAAGAAGTTTCAGTTTCATTTCAGGATTTTGAAGTCATTTCGAAAGACAGACTGCTAGATATACATTAGTATACCAAAGTCCATATTGTATCAAAGTTAATTTCACAATAGGAAAATACATAAACGGTTTGGGGTCTTGATATTCTTTGTAGGATTAAAAATTGTTGCTATCGTCATGATTTGGGAGGTTACTGATAATGGACCTAATTTGTTCATGTAGTTCATTGAACGTCCAGTAGATGTCAGTTCTATCACCCTTGAATGAAACTTTAAAGAAAGAAACGTTATATTGGAATGTCATCAGTTTTCACAGAGTAATAAAGCCCTTATCTTACATATTGGGTGATTTTTCAGCTATGAATATTACCAGCATAATGATGCCAAACATTCTGCCTGAACTTTCAACTTTGTTGGAATAAAGACTAAAGAAGTGGAATATTGTGGAACCCATTTCTTGTAACCCATGCTGATGGAACTTTGATTTGTTTTATGAGGAGAGGTTTTTAGGAGGTGGCTTCTCTCTTCTAGCACTTTTTTTTTTCTTTATAATTAGGTAATAACTAGGCAGTGTGCTCCTTAAGTATCTTGGCCATTGTATGCCCAGCATATTGTAAGCATTAATTGTAAATGTTCAATAAATGCTTATTAAATGAATTAGATCACTTAACATTTGTAAGTCAGAATTTCTTCATCCAAAATGAAGGCGTTCAGTTATTGTTAAGTTTAAATTCAGTAATATAATTCCTGTGAGATGAATGATGTCTGATCATGGAGAACTTTGAAACCTTTACTGTTAGAAATCCTGTGGAAGTCTAGCAGTGACTATTGGAATGCTTGAGAGTTTTTTTTCAGTTGCAGTATATTCATTGAAAGCTAATTTTTGAATAGCTTCTATTTTGTGCGTGATATTTATTAAGATGGATAAAATCTAAATCCTTTTTATAAGGACTTAAACTGTAGTTGAGTAGGATAAAGTTCAATAATTATTAAAAAGAAAACAAGCCATTTTTAAAAATAGTGTAATAGAGCCAAATGAATAATACCAAGGATTATATAATCTGAGAGATTTTGTGGAGTAAACAAAATTGGTTTTTGAAGTTTGAGTAAAATTGACTGCCCCTAGATGAATGAGGGGACGTGGTTCATCCAGGATACAAAGCAGATATGCTGCAGCAGAAGTATGTGTGGCATTTTCAGCTGGCACTCAACAGCTGTTGAGAGTTCCTTTGGAGAAGGGGTAGTGAGAGAATGCTCAAAAGTCACTCTTTGGACCTAGGTTAGGTTAAAGTTGATTGCTTTGGAGTTCTGTAAGGAGGGAAGTTCCACAATCTTTTGATTGGGGGAAGTATATATTTTTTAATGGAAGAAAGTTACGTAGGAGGAATTAAAAAGTGTCGGTACTATTCCAGGGGAAAGGGGTGAAGAGGATCTTTAATTTAGTGGTAACAAGAAAGGAAAGAGGGGCGGGCACTGTAGCTCAGTAGGTTAACGCCCTGGCCTGAAGCACCAGCATCCCATATGGGTGTCGGTTCTAGTCCAGGCTGCTCCTCTTCTGATCCAGCTCTCTGCTATGGCCTGGGAAAGCAGTGGAAGATGGCCCAAGTCCTTGGGCCCCAGCACCTGCATGAGAGACCAGGAGAAGCTCCTTGCTCCTGGTTTCGGATCAGCTCAGCTCCGACCGTTGAGGCCATCGGGGGAGTGAACCATTGGATGGAAGACAACTCTCTCTCTTTCTCTCTGACTCTCCTCTCTCTGTATAACTCTGATTTTCGAAAAACAAACACATCTTTAAAAAAAAATGGGAAAGAATGATTTTAGAGAATATTTTTGAGAAATAATAATTTGAATCTTTGCAGGACTTAATATTTTTAAAGTTTTTGTTTGTTTGTTTTTTAAGACTTATTTATTTGACAGAGTTAGAGAGATGGGGTGAGACAGAGATTGTCCATCTGCTGGTTCACTCCTGAAATGGCCACACTGGGCTGAAGCTTGTGAACTCTCTTGGAGTCTCCCATGTGGGTAGCTGAGTCCAAAGCACTCAGGCCATCCTCTGCTCCCTTCTCACGGGCATTAAAACTGGGAGCTGGATCTGAAGAGGAGCAGCCAGGATTAGAACTGGCACTCACAACGCTGGCCATGACTTATCCTGCTGCGCCACAGTGCCGGCCCCTGCAGTACCTAATTTTTACATATCACTGAGCCATCTGTACAAATTCTAATTTATTCATTTTCATGAGCACAAGATATATATTCTTTTTTCCTTATATATCCCATAACACTCAACATAGTCTTATTTTGAGAGTTTAATGTCATTATTTGGAGCTGAGATCCTATTTCCCAAAATGTGATAGTTGCATCATCCCTAACAAACTTATTCTGGGTAGTTACTGCTTTTGATAGTGGAGTTCATTCTTGGTGTAGCTACTTGGGTATATACTTGTATGTAAAAGTAAGCTTTTTACTTCCTATTTTTATTTGTGTTTTTAGTAAGTGCTGTATTCTTGTGGCTGTTTTCTTGGTTCAAACTTTTTTTAAGTTCTGTTGCTTTATATTATATAGCAGGATTCAGGGGAGCAAAATGCTGGCTCCAAAAATTTAATGTCACTTACTACTTGAAAAAATGGCATATTTCAATTTAAGCAGGCTGTGAGAACCTTTTAAAGTAGGTATGAAGGAAGAGTGTGTCAATTCACAGTTTAACTTTTTTTAAAAACATGTATTTTATTTGAGAGGCACAGTTATAGAGGGAGAGAAGTCTTCCATCCTCTGGTTCGCTCTCCAGATGGCTGCAGTGACCAGGGCTGTGCCAGACCAAAGGCAGGAGCTTTTACTAGGTCTCCCACAGGGTGCAGGGACCCAAGGACCTGGGTCATCCACCTCTGCTTTCTTTAGCACATTAAGGGAGCAGGATAGGAAGTGTAGCAGCCTGGACTCGAACTCACATCCATATGGGATGCCAGTGTGCTGGTGGTGGCATTACCTGCAATACCACACATCACCCCCCTGAATTTCACTTTAAAAAATTACTCTGTATACATTACATTTAATAGAAGAAATTCTTACCATTTTATTAGTAAACTATTTCATAGTGAGGCTTCCTTTTATCAGTTGCATTAATGTTATAGTCATTATTTTTCTAGACTCTCTGAATGGTTATTTAAAGCCTATTTGAAAAAATAAACACTTGAAGACATTTACTGCATTTTTCAAATGGAATTATTAATTCTACTAAATAAACCCATTTCTAATCTACCTAAATGCACTTGTTATGATTTAAAAATTCTTTTCTCCTTAAAATGAAATACTTTTATCAAAGAAGGTAATATTTGAATTTGACTAGAAGTTAGTTTTCCTTGCTTAGTATAAGCGACTTTATCACTCTCCCAATTTAGTGACTGGTTATTAGTGACATTGTTTGTTTTTAAAGGTTAACAATCAAGATGGTACATGCTGAAGCCTTTTCTCGTCCCTTGAGTCGGAATGAAGTTGTCGGTTTAATTTTCCGTTTGACGATATTTGGTGCAGTAACATACTTTACTATCAAATGGATGGTAGATGCAATTGATCCAACAAGAAAGCAAAAAGTAGAAGCTCAGAAACAGGTATGGTTGAAATTTATTCGAATATCATTTTTCTTGTGGCTGCAAATATTTTTCCCCAACCTAAGAACATAGCAGAGTTGTAAAGATTTATATCAGAATGTGTTAGCCCACATGCTTAATTTCATTATTCCTAATATATTCATTTCTCAAGTCATTGAACTTTTGTGGTGAACATCCTCATTAAAATTTTCTATCAGCTTGTAAATAGGAAATGATAACATTTTTAACAGACTGAAAAATGTTTATCTTCAGTAACATGTATTTTCCTTTGGAGGACTTTTGATATATGGATGATTGTGACAAGCTGTCAGTGTTAGATTTACAACTGTAATAAAATCTAGTTAGGGAATTGCTTTAAAAGTCATTG